CCCAGAAGTGGGAACAGCAAAAGAGGAAAACGAAACACGTTTCAGAGCGAACCAGACAAGACCAGGCCAGCACCACACTGCTGCCCTTGGTCCTCAGCATGCTGGTCAGAGCGTGCCCCACAGAGCAGCAACGGACGTCCAACCCACACAGCAGCAAAACACCATGCCACCTGGCCACAGATAACACCCCTAAATCTGTGTGATGCTTTGCATATAGTTATGTGACCCAGGCATGGAAAATTACAGGCAGCTTTATTTCCTGTTTTCTTTCCTTTTTTTTTTTGCTTTTATTGTTTTTTTGGCAGTGCTGGAGATTGAATCCAGGGCCTTTACACTGAGCTACATTCCCAGCCCTTTCTAAATCTTTTATTTATTTTGAATCAGGGTCTTGATAAGTCACTAAGTTGCCCAGGCTGAGCTCAAACCTTCCACCCTCATGGCTCAGCCTCCCACAGTGCTGAGATTACAGGTGTGTGCCACCACACCCAGCCACTTCCCACTATCTTTGTACAAATAATTCCTCATCATTTTTCATGAGCACTAAATAAACAACAAAAGGTACAGCGAGAAACCTCACAGCCACATCCTCAGGGTGACCACTCTGCCCAGGACATGGGCCACCACACACAGACCTGGCACTGGACAGAAGCTCACTGGGGACTTCAGGGTTCTCTGACACCTCAGGCTTCTCCGGAAGAGGTGGCCCAACTCCAGGTCCAGCTTCTCCTTCTACACAGATGACAATGCAATCAGCAATTGACAACTAATAATTTTAATTTGATATTAATTCAAACAGATTTAGTGACTCAAATATAAACGTTAATTCAAATACTTGATTCAAATGTAAATATCTGAAAGGGCAGCCTCACATAACTACAAATGTTAAATGAGCTATTTTTTTAATACGTTACTTGAATGAAGATAAAACATGTCTGCTATTTAAGTCTGGTGAAGATTTGGGACGCAGGTACACTCAAACTCTGGAACTGCAAACTAGTTCAATGACTCTCAGGAAACGAAGTGCAAAAGGTAGGTCCATTAAGGCAGCAATTCAACTTAGAAGAAACACTGAGAAAAGAGATGGCCAGGCGTAAATGCGCACCCGCCAAGAGGCTCAGCACACCGCTGACAGCAGCAACAGTCAGAGGCTAAGGACATTCCAGAACTGTCACGCGCTAGACCTGTCGGTGTCAGTGTCATCGCTCTACTGTAATTAAAAATATTGCCCATGACACAGCGAAAAATTACATAGAAACTTTTGAGGTCCTACCAAGATCCTCCTTTACATTACAAGCAATAGAATTACCAGTGATTTTTATTTTCTTTTTCATATTTCTTGCATTTTAAAAATGTTCAACACTGACTATTGCCATATTGTTTTAATAATCTGAATATATCTTTCTCATCTTAATAAAAAGCTTGACCCAGGGCCGGGGATGTAGCTCAGCAGCACAGTACCTGCGTGGCAATCTAGAGGTCCTGAGTTCAATCCCCAGTACCAAAAAAAAAACTTGACCCAGCAAGTCAGCAAGTTTACAAGCTCAAACTAGGACAAATTTACTCTACTATTCAAAGTAAAAGAAATTTATACTTCAGAAAGTCACAAAAATGAATCAGAATTTGAATATTGGAAATATACTTAGGGCCGAAAAATCTTGGAATGCAGTGTTTTCAGGATTAAAACATAAACATGAATAGTATATGCACAAGGTTAAAACTTAAGACCTAATTAAGTTAAATCTTAAATCGAGTTAACACTCCCTTGGCTCACATGCATGGGCACAGGGGTACAATGCGGGGCACGGCACACGCTCACGTCTGCACACACACCAACACATCAAGACCACACTTACCAGCATCGCTGGCCGAGTCACCTAAAAAAAAATATCACATGAGAAAATTACTTTGTCAACCTCAAGATACTGAATGATCTGAGCAGAATCAGAGGCAAAGCACCATGCGTGACCCTGGATGAGAAAGAAACGGATGTTCCTCCAGAACCTCTTTTCTGGCATCCCAATGGCATTTTTCAACTCACATCATAAACTGTTCTTTTCAACTCTATATAACAAAACAGCATATAAAACCTAGCAGCAGGGACAAGAAGAAAAATCTATCACAGAGACAAATTAAGCAAATAGTGAGATAAGCTGGTAAAGCCAGGAAGACCCAGGAAAACCTCATCAGAAGTCATGGGACAGCTGGACACCACTGAGCCCAGCAGGGTGAACTTCCAGGCCCCTCACAGGGTAGAGGAACCCACAGGCTCCATGTACCCCAGAGGCCCAGCCCACCCACCCCTGTGCTTCCTCCCAGGTTCCTTCTCTCTGAGCCCACAGCTACGGACAGTGTGGCCCATGCAGTCACAAGCAGGTGAGGGGCAGCACAAGGGGAAGGGTGGGCGACCTAGGCATTGCTCCTATAATGTAGGGTGGCACTTGCCAAATGGCCAGGTGATGGGGTGCCACAAGAGAAAGCCAGGGATTCTGAAGAGGAGGGAGCCAGGAGAGAGAAGGCTGGCTCACACAGCCCGATCCCTGTGGGACAAGGACACTCTCCTGGGGTAGGACTTCCTGGGAGCACTCCAGCGGGCGCTGCAGAGGGCAGCGGAGGTCACAGCCTTCAGATGACACAGAGCTGGCGACAGGGAGAGACTGGAGGACTGGCTCAGGACAGGGCAGTGTGGAAACCACCAGAAGCTGTCAGGTGGCTTCATAGGCCCAAGATGTCACATCGGGCAACAGGAACTGGGGCTCCTCTCTACTCAGGACAGGAGCAGGTGACCAGCAAGGCAGGGATCACACAGGGACTGCAAACTTCAGAGCCCGTGGGGGAGCGGGGGACACAGCCTGGGTTCACAGGGCACTCAGGAAGGTAATGAAGTCCAAGGCCAGGACCTTGGATCAGGTAAGCAAGCAAGCGCAGAGATCTGTCCATCCTTTAGGCCCTAACCCAGCAGACCTCCACTGCTGGCACACCCTGGCCCTGCCACCATGGGCCCACATGCCGGTTTCTCCTGCTCTCTCATCACCACAGGCCTGGTCTCCCCTGGACCTAGGAGCCCACAGCCTGTCTTCTTCTCTCCTCTCGACTACTTTCTCGGCCTCCCCAAGTAACAGGACTCATAAAATTTTAAATGGCGATGTCACTCCTCCTAAGGTCACGGCTGCTCTTGGGGTGACGGCCAACGGCCCTGACATGGCCATATGAGGTCTGGCAGGACCTGGCCCATCCTCTCCACATCCCCTGCCCACCCTAAATGTCTGCACTGTGCCAACCAGCTGTCATCTGACTACCCCCCTCAGTGCTTCTTCCTGCCCAACCATCCCTTCCAGCCACCCAGGCCACAGGTCACCACTGCCCCTTCCATGCAGGCTTGCTGAACATCTGTCCATTCCATCTCCACAGCCTCATCCCACTTGTGTGCTGATGCCAGTAGGGCAGGAAGCCAGCCTATGTGCTCAGCAACACACTCCCTGCTGGGCCAGACACACGGGAGGCCTTCCACACACTCGGCCCTCACCTGGGCCAGGTGCAGGTACCCTGCAGGCCTGGGCGGAGCTCTGGGCCCGAAGACAGCAGCAAATGCACCCTGCACCATAGCTCCCTGCCAGCTGAGAAAAACAGTGTTGAAGCAGAAATACACCTCAAGGTCCTGAAGAACATGAAACCTCAGCGACTACCACTCTGCCACTGAAGTCCCCTTGGGCTCTGCCTGGTGCAGTGACTGAGCAGTGGCCCTGAAGCCTGTTTTTCAGCCTTCTGCCTCCTGAGTGCTGTGGGCCACTCTGGCCTTCCTGCTGGGTCTGCTCAGTTCCCACACCACAGGGCTGCTGCATGTCTTTCATTCCTGACACGAAGCAGTTTTACAATGGTCCTCAGGCCTCACATGCAGGGCTGCACACAGCACAACGGCTCATCTGTGCTTCCCACGCCATACCTTCACTGAGCACTGACAACAGCGGCTTCAGAAAGCACATCCAGAAGGTTGCTCCCCACCTGTGGCTCTGGGCTTTTAAGCCAGACTCTGCTCAGACCCCACGAGACCCCACGAGAGCCCACAGAGCCACAGCAGAAGCACACACCACCTCCCACACACAGAGCCACGACCAGGCCAGAAGCCCACAGTAAGCCCTGCTCCAGGAAACCAGGAGGAAAAGAAAAACATTTCTGTCTCAGTGCTAGACATACTGAAAAGCCCCCAAATAGCCGTTTACTGATTGCTGACCAATGTTCCAAAGTTTAGAAAGACAGAAAGATATTAAATAACCGAGAAATACAATATCTTCCTAAAAAGGGGCAAGGAAGGTACTCAAGTGACGGGCTCTGAATCAGGGCAGAATCAAGAGCTAAAAAACCAAACACCACCAAAGGACCCAGTACCCTCCCGGAGGAAAAACCAAATTGGAAAATTGTTCCCATTCCTGAAACCCGGCCTCATAACTTCTTAAAATTATTCAAAGAAATAGTTTACATCAGATTCAACCTGTCAATAACTACAAAGACAGTGCTTCATTTATAAACTAGACTACGTAAAACCAAGGACACACAGTTGTGTAAGGAAACATTTTCATCTGTAAGAATGATACTGACTTAAACAGCAGCAAACTACTAATCACTTATGATACTTTATGGAGAACCACCAAAAAATAAATACGAAATATGGAGCTCAAAGATAAATGTTAGCTTGGAAATTACAGATTATCAATTTTAGAATAAAGCCCCCTAACAGTTTTAAATTATGTTTGATTTTAAAGTGTCAAATATGTTCTCTATATTCTACAAAACCCAGCATGACAATAAGTAGATACAAATGCACAGCTCTGTCCACAAAGCTTTGGGGTTTTGTGGGGTTTTCCAGTTTTGTTTTCCTTTGGCAGTGCTGCGATTCATCCTGGGGCCTTGATGCACAGTAACAAGCATTCTTCCACTGCGCTTCACCTTTCAGCCCAGATAGTTTGCACAATTTTATCCTTTTGTGGTTCTATTGTCAATTTTAAGTAAACTTTACTAAACCCCAAGTTCACAGGAAAAAAAAACATGAAAAAGACTACATTCTCCAAGAATACGAGCCACAATCAGCCAGGTGTGGTGCACATGTGTAGGACGCTGAGGCAGAAGGCGGCACCACAGTGCTGCCTCAAGCAGCAGAGTGAGAAGGCTGGGGCTGTAGCTTGGCACTCTAGGCTGAATCCCCAGCACGACAAAAGGAAGAGGAAGACTTGCAGAGTGCATACACAGTAGGCCATGCACTGACAGCCTCAAAAGACTACTTTTGTAAAACATAAAATCAAAATTATACTGAACTGGCGAACAAGCAACACCTTCACAGTGTTACCTGGGACACCCGGGACCGGGCAGAGACGCTCAGCTGAGGACTGGCCCGCTGCCGCCCCAGCAGCTCCTCCTGTCCAGGCCGCAGCCCCTACCTCCTGGGGCCCTGGCCAGTCAAAGGTGACCACGAGCTCCAAGCAAGAAGGCCAGGAGCACAGCGCAGCCGGAAGGAGGACAAAGCCAGGCCCAGCATGAGTACTGTCACCAAATGCGGACAGCCCACAACATCGTTGCAGCCTCCCTGGCCTGCTAGTGGTCGGGACAAACCTCCCTGCAGAGCTGCTACTGAGTGTGACCAAATAGCCAGTGTTTTTATAACAGAAAAATCTCTCTGGAAAAAGCAGAACATAGTCTGGGCTTTAGATACTGTTGAGAAATAATTTTGTTCAGTGAGA